GCTTCTGGTGGAGGACCTAGCGCACGCTGGCCGGCCGATTTCCCTGGATGAACAGAACCTCTTCGTATTCCGGGGGTTGCGCCCGGAATATCGCGCTATGGCCTCTTCTCTCACCGCTGCAGGGAACCCCGTCACCATTCCACAGATTTCTGACTTCCTGCAAGCGCAGGAGTTTATTCATGCAGATGATTACCCAGCCGGCACTGATGGTGGTGCCCTTCCCGCACTGGCTGCGTTGTATGCTGGACGCGGACGGAATGGAGGCCGCAGTGGTTCTACTGGCCAGAACACCAACCGCGGAAATCAGGGACGTGGCAGGGGTGGCGGAGGTCGCGGCAGGAATGGGCGTGGTGGTCCTCCCCGTTGCCAGATTTGTAGAGTGCAAGGACATACGGCGTTGCATTGTTATAAGCGTTACGCTCCGCAACCATCCGCCCAGGCCAATATGGCAGTCCCCGCTGATGACTCCGCGGCTTCGGTGACAGCTCCGGGATGGTTTCCGGATACAGGTGCAACCGCTCACGCCACGCCCGATGCGTCCATGATGTCGGCATCCGATGAGTACAGTGGTGGTGACGTACTCCGCGTGGGTAATGGCGCAGGTTTGACAATCTCGCGAGTCAGTCATGCATCTATACCTTCTGTGTCAAAAATGTTACGTTTGTCTAATATATTGCATGTCCCGCAATTATCGGTTCCGTTATTATCTGTTTATCGCCTCACTAACGATAATCATGTCTATGTTGAGTTTCATAAAGATTACTTTGTTGTGAAGGATTCTCTCACCCGGGCGGTTCTGCTTAGAGGTTTCACGTCGGGAGGTCTTTACAAGCTCCCGGTATCCCAGTCACATTTTGCTTACATCTCGTCCCGTACAACTCCGATAGTCTGGCACCGCAGATTGGGTCATCCCCATGCGCACGTGCAAAATCAAGTTTTGAAGTCATGTCCAGTTGCACCAAATAAAGACAAATCCACGGGATCGTGCTCGTCGTGTCATCTCGGCAAAGCGTCTAGATTCCCTTTAGATAGAGTTGTTTCATCTAGTAAAAATGTGTTGGATTTAGTTTATACCGACATTTGGGGCCCCGCTCCTGTAATCTCTGTTAGTGGATTTTGTTACTTCCTGCTTTTTGTAGACGACTATTCACGTTTTTGTTGGTTTTATCCATTACGGGTAAAAACCGATATATATAAAAGTTTCGAGTCGTTTCGTGTCATGGTAGAACGCCAATTTTCGCGTTCTATCAAGTCCATTCAGTCCGATTTGGGCGGGGAGTATCGCAAGTTACATTACACTTTTCAAAAACTGGGAATAATTCACCGTCAGTCCTGTGCATACACGCACGAGCAAAATGGCAGGGTCGAACGTAAAAATCGACATATTGTCGAAACTGGGCTGGCCCTGCTAGCTGAAAGCTCGGTCCCACAACAATATTGGGATTACGCTTTTGAAACTGCTACCAGTTTAATCAACTACTTACCCACCTTCGTTCTACAATATGACAGTCCCTACAGTCGGCTATATAAAACCGCACCCCCATACACATTCCTCCGTGTCTTCGGGTGCCGGTGTTACCCTTATCTACGGCCTTACAACAGGCACAAGATAGAGTACCGCTCGGCACCCTGTGTCTTCTTAGGGTATCCCACATCCTTTAGGGGCTATAGATGCATTGACATGTCAAGCGGGAAAGTCTATATCTGCAGGCATGTCCGCTTTGACGAAACTTGTTTTCCTTTTTCAGACTTGGCAGCTCAGCGTTCGGCACAGTCCGCTCAGCCCTTGTTACCGTGGGCATCTGGGCCTATTGTGCCCCACTCTCCCAACACGAGTCAGGCACAATCTGTTCCTGACAATCCGGTACCTTTGGCTCAGGATCCAGCACCCTTGGCTATTGAAGGACCTGTAAGACGGACACGTCGAAAACGGGCCGCTCAGCCTCCGCCTCAACCACTTGTGATGAGGCTCCGTCACATGACTCGGGGCACACATGAAGAATTTCACGCATTAAATATATCCACTGATCCCACCTGCTACTCGCAGGCTGTAGGACATCCACAGTGGCGTGATGCTATGGATCAGGAATTTAATGCGCTATTACATAATCATACTTGGAATCTTGTCCCAGCTAAACCGAACATGAACATTATTGGGTGCAAATGGGTGTTCCGCACCAAACGCACTGCTGATGGCTCAGTAGAAAGATACAAGGCCCGCTTGGTTGCGAAGGGGTTCAACCAAGTGGCGGGCGAGGAATTTTTTGACACCTATAGCCCTATGGTCAAACCAACTACGGTACGACTACTGTTTTCACTAGCTATCTCTAACAGCTGGACGTTGAGGCAGCTAGATATACACAATGCCTTTCTTAATGGCCACTTAGAAGAAACTGTTTATATGAAACAACCACCAGGGTATGAAGATCCGACACACCCAGATCACGTGTGTCATCTGCAACGGTCTTTGTACGGCCTCAAACAAGCCTCGCGGGCGTGGTTTAAGAGGCTTCACGATTATTTGCTATCTGCAGGTTTCTTACCTTCCAAAACAGACGTGTCACTTTTTCACTACTCCGCTGGCAGCTCTCGAGTGTACTTGCTAGTCTACGTTGACGACATAATTATGATGGGCAATGATCCAGCTCTTATTTCCACTCTTCTCCGTCAGCTTGCTGCAGCTTTCAAGATCCGGGATCTAGGGACACCCGGGTTCTTTCTCGGTATTGAAACTCTGGAGTCAGGTACTGGGTTCTTATTATCTCAACGTCGCTACATGAAGGACATATTGACACGCGCCGGTATGGCTGACTGCAAACCGCTAGCAACTCCTGCAGCGGTAAACCAACCGGTATCACCGTCTGATGAATTGTATGACAACCCCACTCAGTATCGGCGCATTGTAGGCGCACTACAGTATTTGACCATTACCAGGCCGGACCTATCCTATGCGATCAATCGCTTGTGTCAGTTCATGCACTCACCGACAAATGATCACTGGGGCTTAGTGAAGCGCGTGTTACGTTACATTCGAGGCACTTTGGATTATGGGTTGCGGCTGTCTGTCTTTAGCTCCTCGGCTATTCATACTTATTCCGACTCCGATTGGGCAGGCTGCCCGCTTGACAGGAAGAGTACTGGTGGTTACGCTGTGTTCCTAGGGACCAACTTAGTGTCCTGGCTGTCTCGCAAGCAGCGCACAGTAGCGCGGTCGTCAACGGAAGCCGAATACAAGGCCCTGGCTGATGTGTCTGCCGAGGTCACATGGATCCTGTCTTTATTACGTGAGTTAGGGCTTCACTCTGGGGGTCCGCCCACGCTATGGTGTGACAACTTAGGGGCGACTTACTTATGCGCTAATCCTGTCTTCCACGCCAGAACCAAGCATGTTGAGATAGATTTCCATTTTGTTCGAGACAAGGTCGCTTCCGGAGAACTGCGGGTGAATTTTGTATCTACCAAGGATCAGCTAGCGGATATTTTCACCAAACCATTGCCTGGTCCGAGGTTTGCAGCTCTTCGTGACAAGCTTAATGTTGTGGCTCACCACCCTTAAGCTTGAGGGGTTGTGTTAGCAATATTATATTTATGTTACACTTGTTTAATAATGTAATAGGTTAGGACTCTGTGGCTTTCCTATTAGATAGGGATACTATACGGTAGGTTGTTTTAGCTATTAGTATTGTATTCCTATTCCAGTGTAACTGAATAACATAATTGATTGTCTCATCATATCAACGTATTTTTTTTTTTAGACTATTATTTTGATAGTGGTGATCCCGAGTATGTTTGCGAGCATTGTAATGCATTTTTTTGGTACAATGAACGGGCAAGCAATTCAAGGTCATGTGACAGACCTAAATACTCTGCATGTTGTGTGAATGGTAAGATAAAGTTGCCATTGATGACAAAGCCTCCTCAAAAGTTGTTTGATCTATTATTTACATCAAGTGATAAAAACAAATGTTTTTTGAAGAATATAAGGTCCTATAACAACATGTTTTGCTTCACGTCAATGGGTGGGAAAATTGATAGAACTATTAACAACGGAACATCGCCTCCTATATTCCGTATAAATGGTCAAAATTTCCATCGCATTGGAAGTTTATTGCCTGCACTTGGCACTCAACCTAAATTTACATAATTATACATTCACGATACAGAGAATGAGATACAAAATCGCTCCAACTCTTTCAAGTATAATATTCTGTGTTAGTAAACTCTTTTGTGCCTCTCATTGGTTAATACTGGAAATCTTATATTATATATTTTTATTTTTTAGGACGGAAAGCAACGGTTCTACAGTGCATCTTGATGTAGTTCATGACATTAAACAAGACCTAGATGAGCACAATGTTTTGGTTAAGTCATTCCGAATGGCCAAGTCATTTATGGAATCTAATCCTACAAGTGAAATTAGAATGAGATTAATAGGGAAGAGGTCTAAAGATGCCAGAATGTATGCGCTACCAACTACTTCAGAGGTTGCCGCTCTCATTGTTGGAGATTTAGACCCTTGCATGGGTGAACGTGATATCGTGGTCGAGTCTAGATCTGGAATGCTTAAACGAATAAGTGAATTAAACCCAGCGTATCTACCATTGCAATACCCAATTTTATTTCCATATGGAGAGGATGGTTTTAGGGAAGATATACATTTTGCAACACATAGTAATAAACAAAATTTTGCAAGAAAGAGTGTTTCACAAAGAGAGTACTTCGCGTTCCGTATTCACGAAAGATCAAATGAGATCTCAACTATAATGTACGCTAAAAGGTTATTCCAACAATTCTTGGTTGATGCGTATACTATGGTTGAATCTTCGAGGTTGCTATATATTAGGTCAAATCAAAAAGCTTTGAGATGTGAGGCGTACAAAGGTCTTTCTGATGCGTTAACACGAGGTGAAGTGCAACCTAGCTCTCAAGGTAAAAGAATAATATTACCTTCAAGTTTCACGGGAGGAGCAAGATACATGATATAGAACTACCAAGACGCCATGGCAATTTGCAGATTTATAGATTATCCAAACCTGTTTATTACTTTTACATGTAATCCTAAATGGCCGGAGATTCAACGCTTTTTGGAGAAAAGAAATTTGAAAGCTGAAGATCGTCCGGACATTGTTTGCCGAGTTTTCAAGATGAAGCTAGAAGGGAAACTGTTTGGTGCTGTAAGGGCAGGTGCGCTCCGCATTTTCTTATAAAATCATTTTTTAATACAGTACTTAATCATACGAATCTTAGAACTCACATCATGTAATTGTTTTTGCAACAGTTATATACACAATTGAGTTTCAGAAACGGGGTCTTCCACATGCTCACATATTACTGTTCTTGCAAGGGACGAGCTACTTTGCTAATCCTGCTTTTATGGACACGATCATTTCGGCCGAGATCCCAGACAAGTTGATGGACATCGAGTATTACAAAGCTGTCGAAGAATTCATGTTGCACGGCCCGTGTGGTGTTGCCAGGAGTAATTCACCGTGCATGGTAAATGGCAAGTGCTCGAAGCATTTTCCAAGGAGATATATTGATGCATCCCATTTTGACCAGGATGGTTACCCGTTGTATCGAAGAAGGGATGATAAGAGGACAATAAAAAAAAAATGGAATAGAGTTGGACAATAGGTATGTTGTACCACATAATCGGTACTTGCTCTTGAAATACAAAGCACACATTAATGTAGAGTGGTGTAACCGATCTAGGTCAATCAAGTACTTATTCAAGTATGTCAACAAGTGGATAACTATCTGACTGTTGGCATCGTAACAGATTTGGTCTTAACAGAGGAAGAGAAAAAGAACTTTGCATTGTTCGAATTGGAAAACCTATTGGGGCAACAAAATAAATCTTTAAAAGGCTATCCTCCGATGCCAATACCAAGTATAGATAATTCAAGGTTGTTTCAGAATAGGTTGGTTTTTGAAGAGTTATGTTACAATCGTGAGCAGTTGAAAGAAGATGCTGAAGTGCTGTGTGCAAAACTAACTGAAGAACAGAGTCTCATCTATGATACGGTTATACAAGACATTGAAGACGGTAAAGGTGGCTTATTTTTTGTTTATGGTTACGGTGGAACAGGAAAGACTTTCTTGTGGAGAGCGTTGTTAGCTGCAATCCGATGCAAAGGTCAGATCGTTTTAAATGTGGCATCAAGTGGCATAGCTTCTATATTGTTACCAGGTGGCCGTACTGCTCACTCAAGATTTGCAATACCTATTGCAATAAATGAAGACTCAACCTGTAACATTAAGCAAGGTAGCGACCTGACTGAATTGTTGATAAAGACGAGTTTGATAATATGGGATGAAGCTCCCATGATGCACAAACATTGTTTTGAAGCATTAGATCGAACTATGAGGGATTTGTTGCGTTTTGTAGACCCGTGTAGTGAAATGAAGACGTTTGGTGGTAAAACAGTTGTTTTGGGTAGAGATTTCCGCCAAATTCTCCCGGTAGTTCCAAAAGGTACATGGCAAGATATTGTTTCTTCAGCCATAAATTAATCATATCTATGGGATAGTTGCAAAGTTTTAAGGTTGACTCAAAACCTAAGACTAAGTTCGGTACCCAACGGTGGAAACCGGCAGGCATTACAAGAATTTGCCGATTGGATTGCTAATGTCGGTGATGGAAAGCTGGGTGGGCGGAATGATGGTTTCGCAGAGGTTGAAATTCCAAAACACATGTTACTGTCATCCGGAGGGGACGATATTAAAACAATTGTGCACAGTACATTTCCTATGTTTGCAAATGGAAACACTGACCCCGAGCATCTGCTAGGTCGTGCTATATTAGCACCAACGCTTGATGTGGTCAACGCAGTCAATGACTATATGACTGAGTTGCATAATGCCGAAAGCAGGTCGTACTATAGTTCAGACGCAGTATGCAAAGTCGATGGCGACAACGGTATATTTGGAGATGTACACACACCGGAATTTCTAAACAGCATTAGGGTTTCAGGTCTACCAAATCATACATTGACTTTGAAAATAGGTTCACCGGTAATGTTAATGAGAAACATTGACCATTCTCTTGGTTTGTGCAATGGGGTTCGGTTGATAATCACAAAGCTAGCAGACCATGTTATTGAAGGTGAGATTCTGACTAGACCTAACAAAGGTACAAAAGTGTTGATCCCCCGAATGTCAATCTCACCCTCTGATCCAAGATTGCCGTTCAAGTTTCAACGAAGGCAATTTCCAATTATGCTTTCATATGCAATGACCATTAACAAAAGTCAAGTACAAACGTTGACTCATGTTGGTTTAATACTAAAGAAACCGGTTTTTGTACACGGTCAGTTGTACGTGGCTGCATCTCGGGTTAACAATCCAGACGGTCTCAAAATATTGATAGTCAAAGACCCAAGTTCAACTACTACATCAACCACTAATGTTGTATATCATGAAGTTTTCAATAATTTGTAATTTTGTAAAGTTCTCTTTTCTTAGTTCCATGACCTTGCAACTATTTGTAATATACCATTTTCATATGGTTTTTGTTGAATTCCCAATCATATTTCATTTATATGTTATAAATTTTAACCGCATTAGTTCACACAATTTGTAACATAACATACACACAATTAATACTTTTTAATTTACATACCGTGCAGCGCACGGGTCAAATACTAGTTAACTATAATAGAAGCAGGGTTGTAAAAATCCCGCCTAGGCACCGAGTAATCGGCGCCTAGGCGCTAGGCGCCCATAGGCCGTGGCGATTTCCGCCCTAGGCTCCCGCCTAGGAGACCGGCCGCCTAGGCGCCCGCCTAGCGCCTAACTCGTCCGATTACACCGAGTTAACTCGTCAATTTCTGTCGAGTTAGTCGAGTTAACCCGACCGACTCGACCTTGCTAATTTTGTCCATTTATATGACATATACATATAATATGACATATATACACTCGTAGACTAGTTTGATACTTTCAATCTTTGGATGATTGAAGTATTTGAGTATTTCATTTGAGTTTTTTTTTTTTTTTAATATTCTTTTGATGTTATGACTTATGAATTGTCATTATGTCATTTATTTGGATGTGTTATTTGATTGAATGTTGAAAATAGCCTCATTAAAATTATCAAATTGCAAGTCTGCTACTGTTTTTTTCGCGACCGCCTAGCGCCGCCTAGATTCCGCCTAGGCGCCGACTAGGCCGCTTAGGCGCTAGGCGCTGCCCGGGCGCCCGACTAGCGCCTAGCGCCTACTGCAACCATGAATAGAAGTTAATTCTATTTTGGAATAAGGGTAAAAAAATATCATCAAACTACACACAAAAATGTAATTAGGCCACCGAACTCAAAAAACTACAATTAGGTCCCTGAACAACGCAAATTAATGTAATTTCACAAAAAAATAACTTGTTTATCTGTTGTGTCGGTTACCGAATTTAAAAATAATTTTTTAACTTTTATTTTAATAATTTTAATTTTTTTAAAACCCAGCCGGAGACTGGCTGTTTTTTTATTTAAATTTTTAAATAATTTTTTATTTAAAATTATTAAAATAAAAGTTAAAAATTATTTTTAAATTCGGTAACCGACACGTCAGCATATCAACCGGTAAACAAGTCATTTTTGGTAAAATTATATGAATTTGTGTTGTTTAGGGACCTAATTATAGTTTTGTTGAGTTTGGTAGCCTAACTACATTTTAATGTGTAGTTAGATGACATATTTTACCCTTATTCCCTTATATTTTTATTGCAAAAAAATAAAGAAGTTAATTCTATTTTTTTAATTTGAAAAATGATCGAGATATAAATAAAAAATGTAAACAAACTTTCCGAGCATAGTGACATGATAATTGGACAAAGTACTAGATGTGATCCGATACGTCTAACCCATCAAAGCAGTCAAATAACAGTCAAGAGCAGAGAACATGTAGAACGATTACAAGAACCCACACATTAAGAGCACCACCTCATCAAAGATAGGAGTTATAGATGACAATGTCACTTATTAGTTATTAGGAAGTCGTTGCTATCATTATTGTAACCGTTACAAGTTTATAGTATAAAGACTGACCCTATGTCGCAAGAGAGGGACACACTTTAAAACTTTGTACTAACAGGTGTTTGGTTGGATGTAATTTGGGTGTAATTGAATTGCAATTCTGTGGAAGGTCCAATTACGCCTTTTGGTTGGAGGGAATTGCAATTCCACCGAATTGCAATTCCCTCAGAATGCTGAATTCCAATTTAGACCCCCCACCCCCCCCCCCCCCCCTATGAATTACAATTCAGCGAATTGAAGGGAGAAGAAAAGATAGTTTAATGACCATTTTACCCTTCTTCTTCTTTCGTATTAGTAATAATAATAATAATAATAATAATAATAATAATAATAATAATTATTATTATTATTATTATTATTATTATTATTATTATTATTATTATTATTATTATTATTATTATTATTATTATTAGTACATAAGGGCATTTCAGGCATTGTATCACTTATTTCCTTTCAATTTCATGCCTTATTACTGCATACCAAACACTGTAATTTGAATTACTACTTTATTCCCACCTGCATACCAAACACTGTAATTTGAATTCCTACTTTATTCCCACATTATTCTTTCTTCACCGAATTACAATTACTTTCCCTCTTAATTCCTTACTTTCAACCAAACACCCCTTAAGACTCTCGGCAATATAAAACTACTCCCTATAAGGCTATAATTATTCCGGTAACTTTTCTACCGTTACATAATTTAATGATATTGTCAAAATTGGATAAATTTCAGTAATATTTACAAGATGAGAGATTCACATCCTCCATATAATATATCATAAGAATAGAAATATTAGAGTTTAACCTTAAAAGAACGAAAGTACAAATTTATCCTAACTCATACCAAATGCAACCATATTCCCCAACAAGACCTCTATTTGAATTTGAAAACCGAAAGGAGTGAAGGTCCAAATCATCAAGAACCTCCGTACAAGATTCCACGCAACATGACATACGACGACTCCAATATTTATATGTAGCTGTCAGCGCGCTCTCTTCTTCAATTTCAAATTCGAGCCCCGTTGAGAATTCTTTTCGCCATTCACCCACCACCCCAAATCTTCTCCCTCGCTCCTCTTCCCAAGAGCGGGCTAACCCTAATCAAATTCAAACTCGAAATACCAATCCCGCAGATTCACAGGAACCATCGCACTTTTTTTCCCAGAAAAAATATTGGGTTTTTGTGAGTGAAGCCAAAGCTGAAATCTTTAATTTGAATTGTGTGGGATGGGTAATTAATGGACGATAAATGTGGCATTGCTGATATGTCTCCAAGGGTATTTAGATCTGAATAAAAACGCTGGACTTTAGTTCTCTCTAGTTGTAACATACGGAGTAGATTTTAGTTTTTTTTTAATCTTTCTTTTGGATGGAGTTGTAACTTATTCCAGATTATTGGTTTGGTTCTTCTAGGTCATGGTTGGGCAGAAGAGAGGAATTGCAGAAGTGGAAGAAAGATCTCAGCTTTCTAACAGGAAGGTGAAAATGAGGGATCTAGAATCTGTGTTTCGCTCTGAAGGTATGCTTCTTTCATTGAATTGATCCATATAGCAATGCCTGCTTTAATGTCTTGGAGTTATTTGCATTGATATGATGGAATGATTTGGAAAAATTCAAATTCAAATTCAAATCTGTGGCCACTACTCAAGAGTGTGCATTGGGTAATCACGCCTTGTGACCATAGCGGGAGGTAAACCAGCTTAGGTTGTTCATATCTGACCGGTTCTGATCTAACCAAGAAGGCCAATAGGCCGATCCCATTAGGAGTTAAACTTGTAACTTTGTGGTTAGCAATTCAGATTTGATAAGTCTTAGCAGTTTCTTATTTGATTTTCATTAGTTGTATGATGAAGCTGACAATGTGTAAATATCTTTGTTATATATGTTTACAATGGAGTAAGAACTTTATGTGGTTTATATCATTGTGTTAGTTTTAAGAGCATATGTTCAATGGTTTAATTTGCTGTGAAATTTATGTTAGTCGAATAATGATAGGGGTGAATAATTTTAATAGTTTTATGTTTATCCAAGCAGAAAGATGTGGAATCGAAAATGTAGGTGTTGTGGCTGGGGAACCGCTTGATCTTATTGCGACTGTTGGTGCTTCGAGCGTTGCAGTTAGTAGTTCTTCTGCAGCGTGTGTTGATGAAGAAGCTAGAAGAGAGGGTTTGTGTAAGATGGACGGGACGGGGCACGAGTCTGATTCGGGGAAGCCGAGAGGATTGGGTGTAGATCTAAACGCGGAAGATGTTTCTAGCTCGATCAATCATGCTGCTTTTAGTTATCCCCAAAAAGACGGTGGATGTGTGAAATCGAGTGATGATTTTGAATGTGCAAGCTCTGTTGGACCGACGGAGGAGAGGGATTCGTTGAAGGTGTGGAACGAAATGAAACAGAATGGTTTTCTCTCGTATTCTCATGGAGGTGTGCCGATACCGAAGGCGAATGGGAGGAAGAGTAAAAACGATGGGATGAAGAAGAAGATGGAACTCGCAAAGAAAGAACGAGTAGATAGGTTTGCAAAGATTGCTGCGCCTACTGGGTTGTTAAACGGGTTGAACCCCGGGATCATTAACCATGTGAGAAACAGCAAACAGGTTCATTCCATAATCGAAGCCCTCGTGAGATCCGAGAAACACGAAAACCGTCGTGCTGGAGGCAAACACGCAAGCCAACCAAAAAGCGGGGAACGAAAGGAGGTAGTAGAATTAGAAAGTCAGTGTGGTGCAGGGATAAACCGATCCAATTCTTGTTATCAAGAAGGATATTCCAACACTTTGTCATCAAGCGGGCATATCATAAACCGATCTATCTCTTTGAACTCGGAGTTCACAGGAGCAGGTGGCGGGGATTTTTGTATGACTGAGGCAAAGGTTTCCGAACTCCCAAACGCTTGCATGGACTCTAAGGACGATGTTCTTGCATTGAAATTGTCATCAGCCACCGCTATCGTCTCAGATAACACAAGCTCGTTATCTAACGATGAATCTGCAAACCTTACTAGCGTTAATTCACTCTCTGTCAAAGGTTGGCTAATTGCTTCCTGTAAAATCCCGCCATCTTATGTTTACAATTGCAATCGAAACCCATAAATAGTTTTCTTTGATTTTCAGCTGCCAATGTGGCTTCGCAATGGTTGGAATTGCTCCATCAAGACATCAAAGGGCGTCTTGCAGGTAGGCTATAGATTTCAGATATTCTTCTCGGTTATTGTCTGTGAAGAAGCTACTAACCTACGTTTATCTGTATTTTCAGCATTGAAACGCAGTAGGAAGAGAGTCCGGGCTGTTATTCAGACAGAATTTCCTTGCCTAGTCTCGAGAGAATTTTCTTCTAATCAAGAAAACGAGCCATATAGCTCCCAAGGTTCGATTACTGCAGATGCGCATCATGCTAGATGGAGTTCTTTGTTCGACCAGATGGATCGTGCTTTATCCGAAGAAGAGAGACAGCTGGTGAGTTGCGTTCCCGTGAATCTGTTATGGCTATCCCTTCATAAGGAGAAACGAGTTATATATATATACAGCATGCTTACACGATACAAAGAGGCGATAACAACAACAATTTATTCATCTTTGCAATGCGATTTTCAGGAATGTTGGCAGAAAGAAGTGCGAGAAATGCAGCTGCAATGCGAGAAGGGCCTTGTCAAATACAACATGCCTTGCGTTTTGCCTCAGATTGCTGCATTACAAAACGACTTCAGGTAGATACTCGTTTCGCCAGAAGCACAAAAATATATATATATTTTTTTGGGTTAGACCACGAGGTGTCCTGAGTAGACCTTAATTGTAGGAGGCACCTTTAAGCCCGTACCATACACAGACTAATCCCCGTTCGCACCGGGCCAACCCAATTAAGGGGCAAAGTACTGGCCAGATTGGTTTTTCCATACAAGAGGGGGTTCGAACTCTCGACCTCTCTTAAGGGATAAGAGTGCACGGTCACTCACGCCAACCAATCTAGTTACAGAAACACTTCTTTCGATTAACATTACTAGTGTCAAAACCGGGACTCATGGTTGCCTTTTTTTCACTAAATGAGAACACTGAAATGCCATTTTGGCCAATCTTTTCACCATGCACAGATTGGAGAAAGACGCGGAGAGGGATTTAGCGGTTAGAGCTGCTGCAGCCTCCATTTATTCGACCTGCAGCTTCCTGTCATCCATGGAGAACACACCATGTTTCTGATCATTCTAACCACAACTTGTCAGTGTACTGATTCATTAATCTTCTAATTTTTTTTTTTTTTTTTTTGGTGTACTTTCAATTTCCTTTGAGTTCCATTGGTCCTCTCATTACTTTCTTGCATAGCAATCAGAGATTTTATTTGAGATTTCATTCATTTCTCAGTACTCTTTGGCTGTAACTTGCTGTTATTTTAGGAAATGGTAGTTGTTGACTTGTTGTTTCTCAGTAGTTTGAGAATTTGCAGTAACTATTCAATTCCTTGAATATAAATGTTCTCTTACCACCATCATTGATGTTTTATTTACCTTAAAAGTATTATTTTCTGTGCCTATGAATGAGTAATTGAACACATCAATCTAAAGCCTAAAGTAAAACCCAACTAGTTGAAGTAGTTGATAAAGTTAGCTGCTAAGTGCATCCACACTAGGAGTGAATGTCAAAATATTTCAGAATTAATTCTCTCAAGGTGAAGAGCAAAGCCGATGAAGGAGGGAAAGAATTGAAAAAGAATTAGCCTGCAAATGCCAAAATAATGTCAGAATTTTTTTTTTAAAAAAAAAAGGAGAAAGGAAAGGCTGTGCGCGAAACGTGCACAGTTGGTCAAAAGCTGGGCGCGTGCACTGCACGCGTCAGGCGCGCCTGACAGTGCCAATTATTTTATTATTTTTTCTTTTTTTAAATTCAATAGCCGGGCTCGTGTTGTTTTTTTTTTGTTTTTTTTTTTGTTTTTTTCCTTTTTTCTTTCCCCTTCCATCTTCTCTTTTCTAATCACTCTTGCATTCTCCCCTCTAATATCCCAATTGATAATGATGCTCTAATGCCTAATAGTATGACTAATGGATGAGCTTTTGGAGTTTTTGTGGGGCCAAGCAATATAAAAGGAAACTAGAATTTAAAAATAATATAATAATTGGAGAGGTTGTCAGCTGGTGAACACTCTAATTGTTCAGTAGTCGATAAAGAGCATTTGCTCGCTAGACATCTATAAAAAAAAATGTCCATTTCTTTTCTCTTTTTTTTTTTTTTTTTTTTTTTTTAACTCTCAATTTAGTAGATAAGAACTTTCCCATTAGTAGATTTTTCTTGATTTTTTTGTGGGATTAAATGCGAGGTGGAATAGAGAAAAATGAGAGAGAAGGTTTGAGGTGCTTGCAACAGGAGGGTTTTTTTTTTTTTTTTTTTTTTTTTTTTTTTTTTTTTTTTTTTTCTTGTCTACATAGTGGGTCCTACCAAAGAATATAAAAAAGTTGGTGCACGTGAGGATTACTAGGAGCACCCAGCCGAATGCGTGCACCATTGTATTTTCCTTTTTATTTTATTTTTATTACTTTTTTGACAATTCTTTTTCCCTTTTTCTCTCCCTCTTCCTCTCTTACTTCGCTCCTAAAAAATTGTGAAAAAACTATACTCTTAAATTCCATTCTCATCTAATCATCTCTCCTTTGCCAACTCACTTTCTCTTCCCTCTATACTAGTCAAAAAATCCTTAAAAAAATCCATTCAAGTTGCTCTAACACAATTGTAATTTGTAAGAGTGAAGGATTTTGTAGACACAACTGGAGGCAAATATAAATTAGTCTTAGTGTTAAAAGTTATCTAAGTGTCATTTGCAAAATATTTACAATAAATTTAGGGTGCTTGACCCTTCCTTACTAACATTGTCATTATTAGGACTCTATGTATCTAAGTCTGCTTAGAACTTCTAATCCTTGTCACATTGGTGACTCTCTATTGTATATATTCACATCATCTGATCTCATTGTAATTATGTTCAGTTAATACAATACAATCAGTTCTCATCTGTATCAGTAAGCTAGGGTTTTCTCTCTTGTTCCTGTGGCTGACGGATCTGTTAATTCCTCCAAACGGACCGTTTCTGATGCTACTATGTCGTCAAGTTCTTCGTCAGTTGTGTCGCTATCCACCGCACACCACTTTATCAGCACCAAGTTAACCTACAAGAATTATTTGTTCTAGCGCACGCAAGTCGTCCCGTTTCTTCTCCGGTTTGACTTAATGGGGTTTGTTGATGGTACAAAACCCTCACCGCCGGTTCTTCTTGCCGCTGACGCCGACAACGCCAATGCCATACCACGGTCAAACCCCGCTTATGCCGTTTGGATGCGTCAAGATCAAGTATTATTGTCCATACTTGTCTCCTCTCTCTCCGACGAAGTCATGCCGTTAGCCGTCGGACGTTGCACGAGTCGTGCTCTTTGGGAGGCCATCGTTCAGGCGTTGTCGTCTTCTTCCCGTGCCCGCGCGTTGAACCTTCTCGGCCAGTTACAGGGACTGGAACAGGGTGACTCGTCGATTGCGGATTACATCGGGCGAGCTCAAGTGATTGTTGAATAGCTCACCCTCGCCGGCCGCGAGGTCTCCCTCGACGACCAAAATCTTTTTGTCTTTCGCGGCTTGCGAGTGGAGTTCCGTGCCCTCACCTCCTCTCTCGCCGTCCGTGGACAGCCGGTCACGCTCCAGGAGTTGGCGGACTTCCTCGGCGCCCAGGAATTTATCTCCAGCCGTGATTACGGCGGTGATCCGGCGGCCCTTACAGTTCAGCGCGGTGGTGGCCGATCGGGTCGAGGTCAGAACCGTGGCGGCGGTCAACGTGGAGGGGGTGGCAACGGCGGTTTCAATCATGGTGGTGGTGGCTGACAGCAAGGTGGCCGTGGGCGTGGTGGCCGCGGTCGCGGACGCAACGGTGGCGGCAATCAGGTTCAGTGTCAGATTTGTAGGCGAACTGGTCATGAGGCTCATGCATGCTACAACCGTTATTATCCCCCACCTCAGGCCAATCTAACCTATCAAAATAATTCAGACGTTGGTACTCCACAGACGTGGATCCCAGATACAGGGGCAACTAATCATGTTACTCCGGACATTGCTGCTTTGAACACTTCAGAATAATATGTTGGCAATGACACTTTGCGTGTCGGTGACGGTATGCGTTTATCTATTAGTCATGTTGGTCATGCCGCTTCTAATACCCCTTCTAGATCATTCAAATTGTCTGATATACTTCACGTTCCACGTTTGTCTAATTCTTTATTATCTGTTCAAAAGTTTGCATATGATAATAAAGTCTTTTTTTTTTTTTTTTTAGTTTCACCCCTCTTTTTTTTTGTTGTGAAGGATATTAATACCAAGGAAATAGTTCAGGGGACTATACACACTACCATTACCTAGTTCGTCTCCGTCAGCGTTTCTTTCCGATCGTGCCTCGGCTTCCACTTGGCACAATCATCTGGGTCATCCCCATAACCGTGTTCTTAGCAATATACTTCGATCTTGTTTAGTTAGTGGATTTCGTGATATTATTCGTTGTAATAATTCTTTATGCAATGCATGTCAATTGGGTAAATCTGCCCGTTTTCTCCTCCCTTGTGCTGCTTCTTCTAGTTCTCATGTGCTAGATCTTATTTACACAGACATTTGGGGCCCTGCGCCTATTTTATCTACTTCTGGCTTTCGTTACTTTGTAATCTTTGTGGATGACTATTCTCGTTATACATGGTTGTTTCCTATGAAATTAAAGTCTGACCTTTATGTCATCTTTGATAAATTTCGTACTCTTGTTGAAAGTTCCTTTAATTGCAAAATAAAATCCATTTAGTTTGATTTAGATGCTGAATACAAAAAATTACATTCTTCGTTTGTTCAATTAGGAATTCAACATAGACAATCATGTGCCTATACACATGAACAGAATGGTCCTGTTGAACGAAAACATCGTCACATTGTTGAAACTGGTCTGGCTCTTCTAGCTCATGCCTCTGTTCCTTTAAAGTTTTGGGATTTTTCCTTTGAGACAACTGTCTATTTAATTAACAGAATGCCATCTTCTATATTAAATAACTGCAGTCCTCACCTCCTGTTGCATAAATCCCATCCTTCCTATCTTTTTTTTCGTGTCTTTGGCTGTTTGTGCTACCATCATCTTCGACAATATAATCGTCACAAAATGTCATACAGGTCTTCTTCGTGCATCTTCCTAGGTTATCCTGAGTCCTTTAGGGGGTATAGATGCATGGACTTACATACTAATAAGATTTACACATGCAGGCATGTCAGATTTGATGAAGAAGTTTTTCCCTTTGCTACTAAAACTTCTTTGCAGGATCCATCTACTCTTTTTTCTGGACCTTGGGCGGAATCCCTTCTCAGTCACAGCACCCCTATCGCTACCTTGGATGCCGTGTCTAATGATGAGCCGCTAGAATCGCCGCTACCAGTTTCATCCGTACCAACCTTAGATCCCGGACTGGCTGCCTCGTCGGATAATCCCGTGGAGCCCGTGCGCCGCCAGCGAGGTCGTCCACGTGGACGGTCCACCAGGCCAAATGTCCGTACCCACTCTATGGCCACTCGCAGCAACACAGAAGCTCCTCTTTTGTCTCTAGCAACTCAGGTATACCCTACGGAACCCACATGTCACTCTCAAGCTGTCAAATATCCTGAGTGGCGTGAAGCCATGAACCAAGAATTCAATGCCCTCCTGCATAACCACACATGGTCTCTAGTTCCACCCACCCCAGGTATGAATATTATTGGCTGTAAATGGGTTTTTCGTACGAAGAGAAAGACTGATGGTACTATTAAAAGGCATAAAGCCAGGCTGGTCGCAAAGGGTTTTAATCAGGTTCCAAGCCAGGACTACTTCGGCACATTTAGTCCAGTGGTAAAGCCTACGACTGTAAGACTTCTTCTATCTCTAGCTTTATCATCTGGGTGGTCTATCAAACAGCTAGATGTTCATAATGCCTTTCTGAATGGTAGTCTGACTGAAACAGTTTATATGAAGCAACCCCTGGTTATATTGATGCTAACTTCCCAAATCATGTTTGTTTGTTAAAAAGATCTCTGTATGGATTAAAACAAGCTCCCAGAGCTTGGTTTAATCGGCTACATACGTTCTTACTATTAGTTGGTTTTCAAGCATCCAAAATAGATGTCTCTCTGTTATATTACTCTAAAGACTTTGCTTTGGTTTATCTATTGGTTTATGTGGATGACATTCTTGTAATGGGAATTGATCAGGATATTATATCTCAGCTCTTATCCAAACTATCTGTTACATTCAAAATCAGAGATCTTGGTGAACCAAATTTCTTTTTGGGTATTGAAACAGTTAAGAGTGACAATGGGATTATATTATCTCAACAACGGTATATGAATGATATTTTAAAACGGGCTGGAATGTCCGAATGTAAACCCCTTTCTACACATATATCTGTCTCGAAAACTGTTCCCTTCAGTGCAGATCTATATGATGATCACATGCAG